AGTTTAATATATATATATATATATATATATATATATATATATATATATATATATATATAAAATATATAATACAATATAATACAGATTTATAAATACAAACACAAGTTAAAATATAAATGTGTACCTAATATTGAACGTGAAAAGCAATTTAAATGAAAGCGCCCGATGAAGGATGAAGGATGAAAATAAAAGTACTTCCGCGTTTAGGAAGTCTACTTAATGTAAGATAGAGCACTAAACTCATCTACTGTTATGTATATTTATATATATATATATTTACTTTAAATCTACTAGATATACATACATAAAGCTAAATCAGAACTACTTTCTCCGCTTTTGTCTTTTATTATTTCTTTGGACTCGTGAACTTGTAACTCTCTTCGGAATTTTTAAACTCTCTCTTGTTTTATGTTATTTTTATTATAATTTCATCGTCCACAGCTAAAAAAATCAACTACAATATTATACATATATATTTATATAAACGTTCTCTTATCCATCAGAAATCATATTAAAAAAAGTAATCTTTAAGATTTATCGTTCCTTTTATTATTGACATTAAAGGTGAAATCGTTTTTTGACGTTCTATAAATAGACTTATTAGTGTGTTTTTTATGACTTTTTTTTTAGCTTCCAGATTAAAATTATTATTTTTATTTTAGATATTTATACAGTTCACTGAACGTAATTTTCAAATTAAATTTTTTATTTTATAGAGGACAAAAAAGATCCTTTGAATAAAATCGCTATCATTAATATTTCTCGAGATATATCGCGTTGACTTATGAGTATAAAATTTTTGAGAATTATCTATATTATTAAGAGAATAAACAGAATTTTGTGGCCAGTGTATTTATTATATGATAAAATGGGTTTTTATGGTTAAATTTGGTATCATTGGAAGTCTTGACCTGGAGTTGTGCCTTTTAAAAGTTTCATATCATTCTCACCAATAGTCAATTTATGATGATAAATAATGCTGCATTCAGAAGTTCTCAATCTCTAGATACATAATTAAGAAATGACCTTGTATTTCGTGAACTCTTGACATTTTTAAAGATATAAGCTCATCTTGATGTTAGATTCATCAAGACCTTTCATTTGAGTACCCACATCAACTTTTCATATATTTATATATTTTATATATATGTATTTATGAAAAATATATAAAAATGCATGTGGATACTCAAATGAAAGCTCTTGGTGAGTGTAACATCGAGATGAGCTTATATCTTCAAAAATATCAATAGTTAAGAGAGTACAGTGCAATTTAACATAATTAAGAAACAACCTCGTATCTTGTGAATTATTGATATTTTTAAAGATATAAGCTCATCTTGATGTTATACTCATCAAGACCTTTCATTTGAATACCCACATCAATTTTTCATATATTTATATATATTATATATATGTATATATGAAAAATATATAAAAATGCATGTGGGTATTCGAATGAAAGCTCTTAATGAGTGTAACATCGGGATGAGCTTATATCTTTAAAAACGCCAATAATTAAAAAAGTACAGTGCAATTTAACAAAAGTCATTATTTAACAAAGCAAAATTTTATTTATTTATAGTTCACAAGTCACGGCAGTCACATAGTGACAGTAAAGTTGCTCTTTATTTAATTTTCTTAAAAAAATTTTCATTTTTTTTTTTATAAAAAAATGCGCAGGTCAAAAAAACGTTCTTAATTTATTAAATCATTTTTAAAACTATACATTATCAAAATACCAAAAAAAAAAAAATAAAAAACACGTCCATTAGAGAACATCTGTTTAGTTTATAAATTTCTAATGATAATGATATTGATAATTAATAACGATCATTACCGTTGAAGTTAATTGACAATTAACAGCGGTGATAGATGACGAAATCCAGTAAAAATAAAAAACATGAAAAAAAACAGGAAATAATTAAAACAAGACGAACGTACGATGAACTAGAGTGATATTAAATTGACAGGTACGTGGGGGTGAAGAGTGGAAGTAAATTACGCAAGGCCGAGTAGTCACCTTGGCAAGTATCTTTCTTCAGAGCACCTTTTTCTCTGTAAACCCCTCTCTCTTTCTCTCTCTCTCTCTCTCTTTTTCTCGAACTAAGTGTGTAGTGGCTGTGTGTATGGATTGGTTGGGTCGTAGTACTACAACTGGGATAGCGGAACTGTTGCTTTACAGTTATGGGTCCGGAGATCGAGATATGCCGGAGTTTACTTTCTGGATCTTGATTGCATACTGCAAACTACTCAGTTGCTGTTCAGTTGCATTGCTCGGGATATGATAGAACTATACTGGAGATGAGACTGCTCAATACTTCATCTCGCTGCAAGTGTGCTCTATATAGATATAAACTCTAGGTAGATTTAATTTACTTTAACTGACTCGAGATTATGGCAATAACTTCGCTTGAGACACTTTCAAGCTTAATAATCGGTGTGATGAAATTTTTAATGCATATGTGAGTATGTATGTATATATAAATGTATGTAAATACAGGTATATATTTTTTTTTTAATTTATGTACAGCCGACTACCTCTAAAGTTACTCTAAACTGTTGATAAATTTCTTTTTTTTTTTTTTAATTATTTATTCATTTATTAATTGTTAATTTATTTTTTTTTTTAAGTGAAGATCATCCACAAATTTTTATTACAAAAATATAACATATAGATTATTTTTAGATATAAAATAATTTTGTAAGTTATTACAACGAAAAAAAAATTAATTTGATTAAAGAAAAAAATTTTTAATTGGGGTAAATTTAATTTAATTCAAGAATTTATTAATTTGATTTAATTAAAAATAATTTTGTTGCTTCAAAAATTTTTCTTTTAAATCAAATTAATTTTTTTTTTTTCAGAGAACATTTTTTTATGACTTATTTTATTTTATCTATATTTTTATAAAAAGAGTAATTAATTTTAATCTAATAAAATTTTCTATTCAAATTATGGAATTATTAAAAAAGTCAAAGTTAAATTATTAAGCTCAGTTTTTTTTTTTTTTAAATCTAAACAAATATTTAATAACTGTTAATCTATATTATTAAGAGAATAAAAAAAATTTTTTCTCACTAATAGTCAATTTATTAGGATAAGTATTTAGGCTGAATTCAAAAATATTTTATCTCTAGATACATAATTAAGAAATAACCTTGTACCTCGTGAACTACTGACATTTTCCAAGATATAAGCTCATCCTGATGTTCCACTCATCGAGACCTTTCATTTGAATACCCACATCAATTTTTCATATATTTTATATATTTATATATTCCACAAATACCATATATATAAAATATATGAAAAATGGCATGTGGGTACTTAAATGAAAGATCTCGATGAGTGTAACTTTGTAATGAGTTTATATATTTAAAAATATCAATAATTAAGAAATGACTTTGTATGTTGTCAACTACTGACATTTTTGAAGATATAAGCTCATCCTGATGTTTCACTTATCGAGACCTTTCATTTGAATACCCACATCAATTTTTCATATATTT